TATATATCACTGTATGACTTTTTCAATTCCTCTGGGAAGATTAACATTACAGGGATATCTAACTTGAATGAGATTGCCGGTCCTGGTTTTTTAAGGAGTCTCCACACTGATTTCCACAGTGGGTGCACCAGACTACATTCCCTCCAGCAGTGGAGAAGGGTTCCCTTATCCCCACAGCCTCTCTAACATTGGTTGTTGGTTGATTTCTTCATGACAGCCATTCTTTCTGGGGTGAGATGGTATCTCAGTGTTGTTTTAATTTGAATTTCATGGATAGCTAGTGATAAGGAGCATTTTTTCATATATGTATTTGCTTCTTTAATTTTGTCCTCTGATAAGTGTGTGTTCATCTGGGATGCCCATTTATGGATTGGGTGTTTAAATTTAGGGACCCTAATGTACTTTAGTTCTTTACAAATTCTAGAGAGCAGACCTTTGTCTGAATGCTTATTAGTAAAGATATTTTCAAAATATATGGGTTATCTTTTCACTTTGTCGGTAATTTCTTTTGATGTGCAAAAACTTCTCAATAAGAGTTGGTCCCTATTGTTAATTTTTTCAAGTATTACCCATGCGATTTGATTTTTGCTCATAGACTCTTTGCCTACCCCTATGTCTTCAAGAGTTCCTCCTACTTTCTCTTCCAGGAGATTGAGTGTTTCTGTTTTAATGTTCAGATCTTTAATCCATTTTGATGTTAGCTGAGTGCCTGGTGATAGACCTGGGTCAAGTTTGAGTTTTCAGCATGTAGAGAGCCAATTTTTCCAGCACCATTTGTTAAAGAGGCTATCTTTCTTCCAGTGAGTATGTTTGGCCCCTTTGTCAAAGATCAGGTGGCTCAGTGTGTTTGTAGAGGCCTCTGCATCTTCTAATCTATTCCATTGATCCTCAGGTCTATTTCTTTGCCAATACCATGCTGATTTTATCACAATATCTTTGTAGTATAATTTCCAGTCAAGAATTGTAATGCCTCCTGCCTTGTTTTTGTTGGCCAGGATTGCCTTTCCTATTCTAGGTCTTTTCTGGTTCCAAATAAATTTTAGGAACGATTTCTTTAGGTCTAGGATGTATGCTAGTGGTAGTTTGACAGAGATTGCATTAAATCTGTACAACAATTTTGGGAGTATGGTCATCTTCAAGATGTTGGTTCTTTCTATCCAGGAGCATGGAAAACAGCTTTTATTTCTTTAGTTAAGTGAATTCCAAGGTATTTCATTTTCCTTGTATCATTTCTCTAATTTCCTTCTCAGTGTGTTTGTTATCTACATAGAAGAATGCTATTGACTTTTTTTTTTTTTTTGGCAGAACCAGGGATTGAACTCAGGATCTTGCACTTGCCAGGCAAGTGCTTGTTCTGCTGAGCCATCTTTCCACCCCTGCTATTGACTTTTGACTATTGATTTTGTATCCTGCTATGATACTGAATTTGTATATGTATTCTAGTAGATTCTTGGTGGAGTTTTTGTGGTCTTTCAAGTAAAGAATCATGTCATCTGCAAATAAAGTAATTTAACTTCTTCTTTACCTATTCTTATTCCTTTTATTTCTCTCTCTTGTCCAATGGCTCTAGCTAATGAATCCAGAACTATATTGAATAGGTGTGGTAATAGAAGACATCCTTGTCTTGCACCAGATCTGAGAGCAAAATGTTTCAGTTTTTTCCCATTTATAATTATGTTAGCCATTGTATTTTCATAAATGGCATTATTCAGATTGAAGCAGAGGCCAACTATTCTAATTTTATATAGGACTTTGAACATGAATGACTCTTGAACCTTGTCAAAAGTCTTTTCCACATCAACTGAGATGATCATGTGGTTTTTAGATTTTGCTCTATTGATATAGTGTATTACATTTATAGATCTGTGTATATTGAATCATTCTTGCATCCCTGGGATGCATCCAACCTGGTCATGGTCTATGATCTTCTTGATGATTTGCTGTATTCTATTTGCTGGGATTTTTATTAAGGAGTTTTTGCATATATGTTCATGAGGGAGATTGGCCTGTAGTTCTTTTTCTTAGTTGCGTCTTTCCCTGGTTTTGGTATCAGTATAATACTTACCTCCAGGAATGATTTTAGGAGAACTGTTTCCTTTTCAATTTCATTGAAGAGTTTGAGGAGTATAGGCATTATATCTTCCATAAATTTCTTGTAGAATTCAGCTGTGAATCCATCAGGACCTGGACTTTTCTTTGTTGGCAGGCTTTTTATTACATTTTGTCTTTCATTGGCTGTTATTGGGTTATTGAGAGTGGTTATATCTTCTTGATTCAGATTTGGTAATTTGTACCTTGCTAGGAAGCGGTCATTTCATCTGTGTCTTCCATTCTGTGAAAGTAAAGATTCTCAAAGTAGCTATTGATCATCTTCCGAATTTCCACTGGGTCTGTGGTGATTACACACTTTTCATTCCTTATTGCTTGTATTTGAATTTTTTCTTTCCTCTTTTAGATGAGGTTAGCTAGAGGTTTATTGGCTTTATTTAATCTTTCAAAGAACCAGCTTTTTGATTCATTATTTCTTTGAACTGTTTTCTTCATCTCAATTGAATTACTTTCTGCTCTAATCTTTATGATTTCTTTCTGTCTTTGGTCTCTGGGTTTGGTTTGCCCTTGCTTTTCTAGATGTCAGAGGTGCAGCATTAAGGTGTTTAATTTTTCCCATTCTGTTTTCCTAATGTGTGAGTTCACAGCTATGAATTTCCCTCTGAGAACTGCTTTCATTGCATCACATAAATTCTGATAAGTTGTGGTTGAATTTTCATTGAATTGTACATATTGTTGAATTTCTTGTTTAATTTCATCTGTGACCCATTGATTGCTGAGTAGGGTGTTGTTTAATTGCCATTTATTTAGGGGGGTTTCTGGTTTCTTTTGTTGTTTATTTCCAGCTTCATTGCACTCTGGTCAGATAATATGCATGGGATAATTTCTGGTTTTTTGCATATACTTAAGCATGACCTATGGACTAATATGTGTTCAATTTTAGAAAATGACTCATATGCAGCTGAAAAAAATATGTATTCAGCTGTTGTTGGGTAGAACACTCTGTATATATCCACCAAGTCCATTTGTTTCAAGCTCTTGTTCACTTCTGTTATTTCTTTGCTAATTTTTTGTGTGGTTGACCTATCTTTTTGGGATGGGGGGGTTAAAGTCTCCTGTTAATATTGTGGTTTTGGATATTAGATTTTTCATGTCCATTAAGATTTGCTTTATATAGTTGGGTGCTCCCGTGTTTGGTGCATACATATTTATGAGTGTTACCTCTTCCTCTTGAATTTTTCCCCTAACCAGTATATAGTGACCTTCTTTATTTCATTTGATCATTCTTGGTTTGAAATTGAGACTGTCTGAGAACAGTATTGCTGCCCCTGCTTTTTTCTGATGTGCTGGGGCATGTAGTATTGTTTTCCATCCTTTGATTTTCAACCTATGAATTTCTTTATGAGTTAAGTGTGTTTCTCGTATATAGCATATTGTTGGATTTTGTTTCGTAATCCACTGTGCCAGTTTGTTTCTCTTAATTGGTGAATAGAGTTCATTTACACTGATGGTTATAATTGAGATGTGTTGACTTATGATTGATGTGTTATTTACCTGCTGTTGTTTACTCTTTTTGGTCCTGTGTTTAATTGTTTGCCCTATTTAGTGGATTCCTTCTCTTCTCATTCCTGGAGTTCTGATCATTTTGGTCCCTCTCTAGAAAATCTTTCCGTAGTCTGTGTAGGGTTC